GTGTTAGTATGAATGAGAAATGAGTAAGTATGTAACTACTGCTAGAGGTGTTTAGATGTCATAATCAAGGTCAGAGACAACATTCTGTGATGATGCAGAATATGAGATTGTGAGGGACACGCTGAGTTGGTGGTTCTTCATAACCAGTATTAATCATAGTAAGTTTTTTTTTTTTTTTAATGAGCCAGGAATGCAACCAATGTTCTCTTTTTATTTTTCTTGGTATTCTCAGCAAAGGGCCTGGCATATAGTAGGTGGTTATTAAATACTTGATAAGTAAATGAGTGATGCTTTTTCTTATGAGAGAAAATAAATGTTTTTAGAAGAGTCAGCTTTATTCCATGGTTTCAGGGAATGAATTGTGATGAAAAGTGAAGATTGCTTTTGCTTGAAAGAGGCTGACATATTTCCCAGGCCCAGGATCACTTTCTGTGGTGTATGATTTAAGGGTGAGCGAGCATGCCAGAGCGCTCCACTTGAGCTGAGTGATGGGGAATGAGTTGTGGAGCTGTGGTCTTAGATGGTATTTTGTGAAAAATAGTGGGAGATTTATGGCTATTAAACAACTTTGTAGCTGCCCCCTTCTTGTTTCGAAGTCTGCCAAATCTCTCCTCCTGTGGTCTGTATCATGTTCTTTCATTGTATCCGTAACATTCAGAAATGTCCACCGGCCTGCAGTTTTTCATTGAATGCACCCATTGGAAAGGGGCTTGAATTTTACACATTTATCAGTTTCTGTAATCACCAAGTGAAACTTTCGCTTTGGAAGTCTGTTGCAGAATACACTGTGCATGCGTTGAATCTTTTCCAAGGAGGTTGCCACGTTCCACCTTCCTTCCTTCCATTATGGAAATTGCAGGGTGCAGTGTATTAGTGGCTATTACCTTTATTGATATGGGTTTTAAAAAGTATTAGTAACTCTTTGATTGTGAGCAGAAGAATCAAGTAACTTTCAGAATGCTTTGACATATCTTCAGCAGGACTTGTAAGGCCAGAATGAGTATTTCAAGACTTGGGGGGAAGGGGACATATATTTACCATCATCTGCTTTTACCTATTCTAGAGCTCACTCTCAGTAGCTCTAGAAGAAACAGAAATGGGACAGTTCATTACAAAAAGCCAATCAGAGATGGCATCAATCCATGTTGTACAAGTACTAGAGAACTGTTGGAGGAAATGTTCTCTCATTATGGGTTCATGTCAATATGGGACTGCGTGGATTGGAAAAGAAATAGGGCCTCCTGGTGTTTTTAAAAAATGTCAAGCTTAGGTCTGAGAAGTTTCAAAAACGTAGAAAAGTTTAAAAAGTCATGAACGCATGCAGAGATCATCCAGAATTTGTGGTTGCTAATATTTTGATGTTTCTAAGTCTTCTTTAAACGAAAAAAAGAACATCACATGTAAAGCTGAAGTTCTCTTCCCCTAATATCCCACCAACCCCAGACCTACTACACTGCCCTTTGGCTGAAGCAACTGTTCTAATGAATTTAGTGTATGTTTTTTATAATGTTTAGATGTTTCCATACATACATGAGATCAATAAACTTTATATTTCCATAAATATTATGTTTATCATTTTGCAACTTGCATTTTCACTCTGTATTACATTTTTAGACCTGTTCAAAGTGGGATATAGAGATCAGGTTTGTTTTTCTTAAATACTGAATATTATTATTCTATCTTATTGATATACAGCATTTTATTTTCCTCATCGGTAGACATTTGAGTTAATTCCAATTTCTTCTAAATAATGCTGCAGTAAACAGTTTTATGTCTCAACTTGCAGACCTGTGTAGGATTTTCCATAGAGTTACATATTCAAAGTGAAATTGCTGCACCAGTTTTCAATTTTATTAGATATTGCTAAATGACACTTCAAAGTAGTTGAACCAGTGTACATTCCCACTAGCAAGGAATGAGTTGATAATATCTTTTTCCTTTGTTCTCACTAACACTTGCCATTGTGAGACTTAAAAGTTTGCCAGTATGATGAGTGGAAAAATCATATCTTGTTTTAATTTGTATTGCCCTTCATCCTAGGAAATTTCAGCAACTTCTCTTATGTTTATTGACTGTTCAGGTTTTCTCATCTTTGAATTTCCGGACATTTCCTTTGTCTGTTTTTCTATTATATTTTCTATTGATTTAAAGACATTCTTTTTTATTTTTGGATACTAATTATTTATTGCAGATGTGCAAATATGTCCTAAGAGGAGAATTTAAAAATTAAAATATAAAACTCTAATTCCTTGCCATAGGCATTTAGAAAAGACAGCAAGGGCCAGGTGCAGTGGCTCATGCTTGTAATCCCAATAGTTTTGGAGGCTGAGGCAGGTGGATCACCTGAGACCAGGAGTTTGAGACCACCCTCTGCAACATGGTAAAACCCCATTTCGACTAAAAATGCAAAAATTAGCTGGACGTGGTGGCACGTGCCTGTAATCCCAGCTACTCGGGAGGCTGAGGCATGAGAATTGCTTAACAGGGAGGCAGAAGTTGCAGTGAGTTGAGATTGTGCCTCTGCACTCCAGCCTGGGCACAGAGTGAGATTCTGTCTCAACAGCAACAACAACAAATTTGCCAGTGATTCAAAACTGGAGAGTATTTATAGTCCTGAAGATTCAGATTTACTCATTAATTTGCTTATTCTCATTTTAGGTGGATCTTTTAATCCAGGTAAAAGAAAATATTATTTAAATTTTCCATTACTGCATTCTCAATATACGATAGGTATACCACCTCAATTTCAAGGTGAGTTCTTTTTTCTTTGGAAGATAGAGTACAAATTTAAGGCATTTTCTTGTCCACTTATTTCACATAATTGTGTCTTTCTGAATCGTGCTTCTAATCCTAAGGTTCAGAGAACCAGTGTGAATATCACTGTTGACAGGATCATGTGGACTTCATTTTGAGAAAAGCCACGTCAAAAAGCTGGCAGTTGGAACCCTGATTTGTAGTTGTTTTCCCAGACATCCAGCCATAGAAGTCCCATCAAAAGGCATAGTTTGCAAAATCATTCTTTGCTGGGATTATTTTTCATGATGTGAGTTTATCAACGGACACTGAGCAGGAAAGTAATTAAGTGCTGGTCATAGAATGATGACTGCAAAACAGCAGAAGCCACACCATTTTTGCTCTACCTGCAATACAAAACACAGCCAAATACCTCTTTTACGCTTGGCTACAGGATTCTAATGTGTAGCACAGTCAGAGGTGTTTCCTGAAAGGTAGGATTTGTTCCAGTCATTGTAGGAAAAAGCTGTTATCAAATTGTCAACAGCCCAAATCGAGATTAAAAGTTCTAAGAAATATCACAACACAAACTAAAATGCATATTGATTTTTTTTTTTTTTCCCTGCAATGAGTTGGAGCAGACATATTGACGACTATGGCCTCCTGTGGAGGAAGTGTGGTAGATCTAGGGACGATGACCCCTGTACCCTCACCCCATATGTCCTGCCTCAAGCATTAAATAGATGCCGTATTTAGGACACTGTCATCATGTTTCATTCATTATATAGAAATTACAGGAGACCTTGAATACCCAATAGAGAGACACTTGGTGACTGTAGTATTTGATTTTTTAAATCTAATTTTGGACTCCACATTCTTGGAATGTGCTAAAAAGTAGAAAAGTCTTACCTACTTCAAAACATGTTTTTCTTGGTGGCCAAACTTTTATTTTTCTGGACCCAATAGCCTTGGATCCAAATTTAAACACCATATATTTGCCTTGTTGCTGGAGTGAAGCAATGCTACCTGAAAACTGTTTCTACCTAGGGACAGAGCTTCTGATTTTGCTCCAGTCACCCTCTTGCTATAAGTCTCCACTGAAAGCCGCTTAGTCAAACGTCGCAAATGTCAGAAATGAAATTTAAAGGGGTTTTCTAGCAAGTAGGTCTAATCTCCTACTTAGTTTTGATTCCCATAATATAGGTAATCTCTTTGGAGAAAAGGCCTGCTTTTAGGAGGGCAAATATATCCCATAGAATGTATTTCCTGCTCCGGAAAGAAAAATGTTGTATTAATGAAATTTACTTTTTCATGAAGCTTGGAAAGATTGTAAGCTTCAGATTTTGATCCTAGCAGATGTTCTTGTTGGGATATTAAAAAAAAAAAAAGGGTGCATTTGATTTGGAAACGTTATTTAAGAGTTGCTTCTTGCTACTAGCAACCACATTGTGAGTGTGGCATACTGGCCATTGGTTCTGAGTGATAGCTGACCCCAAGCTGAAATACTTTCTTCTGGCTTAACTCACAATCACGTTGGGTTCTGAAGAGTGAGCCTTAGCCGCCTGTGCCATCTCAGACACAGTTCTATAGTTAAAGAGTGGTCGGCAGACAGTGAAAAAGTATCATCTTAGATGTATCTTATGTTATTTTCTTTTAGGCCTTGGAGTGACAAATTTGTTGATAACTGCTACATCCCAAATCCAAATTTCAGACATATTTCTCATTGCTGTTGTTAAACTGAGCCAGAATCCCCAACGCACAGCGCAAGACAATTTATATCCTTTCCTATGCTGACTTCATTCTGTCCAGTCTTTCAAGTCCCTGAGCTCGTAGAGGTCAGCTCTGGTTTTTCCCATTTATCCTGGGGGCAGAGCCTAGCCCCTTCACTAATTAACATAGAAATCTGCCCACATCCAGCATTTACTTTGTAGGAATCACTGGGTAAAGGCCTGGGAGAAGTCTAGGTCTCTAACTTTTCCTGTCTTCCAGCCGCTCTCTTTTTCTTCCTCCTCCTCCTCTCATTTCAGTACATAAACAAACTGCCCTCTTTCCTCAGAGCTATTCCACATGTACTAAGGCCCCTCAAAGCTTTGGATCTTACCCAACACTTACCAGAATATTATCTCAACAAAAACAACTCTTGCTTCCTAAGAAGTATCTTGGTGAATAAAAATTTCTCCAAGCTCAGATCCCAAAGAGACAGGTCTGGTAAATGAGGGGTTTGGTATTTGGTGTTGCTTCATGTTGACTTTGCTTTTGTCACACAGGTTTCCAGTGAGGACACTGCCAGCTCCCCTGAGTGCCACTACACGCCCTTGCCTTCTGCTTCCAGGGAACTCACCAGTCACCGAGGTTGGAACTCAGCTTTTTATTGCTCTCAGTGGGTGCAGGGAGGGACACTTGGCTGTGCAGAGCTCTGGTTCATTACTGCTGCCTCAGCACTTTAGAAAGAACACAGTGCTTTTTAAGTCCTTGATGAGAAAACCATACCTGTCACACGTAGTGATTTTAACCCGTATTAAACAGAATTTAGTGGCATTCTACCCGGGAGGCAAATAAATCTATGATATAATATAATTTTATAATTTTTTTTTTTCTTTAAAGAGATTAGAGTACTTTGAAATTACCAAGGAGATGTTAACTTCAGTATTAGTGATGGGAAGAAATTGGGAAACTCACTAGTATTTGTAAAAGTATCATTGTTTGAGAATATAACAATTGACATATGTAATTTTAAAATGAATGAACTCTACATTATAACTAAAAGGAATTCTAATTTCCCTGGCAACACTGAGAGAATCCATGTGCGGTTTTTGCTGAATTCTCTTGTTCTCAAAACATTAATTTTGTTTACTCAGTTTTTCCAAAGCCTTGAATGTCTGCTGCCATCTCTAGAGTCTTCAGCTTCAAAAGCAGACAGTATGCTGACATGAAATATCACTTGAAAATGTCTCATCCCTAAGCTGGCTGTTTGAAATATTGTTTCCCCAAGAAGGAAATTCCACTTACACATGTAAAGGGGAAACTGAACAGGGACTATCCCAGCAGTACTGCAGGATGTGCAGGTGGAAGAACAGGCTGTGGAGATGCTCAGAAAGCAGTGAATCTGACCCTCCGAGTCACCATCTGGGCTCTGGGCAAATGGGATACTTGTATTTGGCAGGAAAAGAACAAGAGAGTAGGGCAGGATTTCCGGTGTCTGTGGCTCGGACCTGTGTTGCCTGTTTGGTGTCTGGGCATCAATAGAACTTTTCTACATTTAAATATGCCTTAGTTAATTTTGTAAAAAAATCAATTTTGCTCAAAGTCAGGGAAATAAGCAGCTGCCAACCTGCTATGTTTTAGGAGCATGAACAGGTCTCTCTCACTGGATGTCCTTTTGAAGGTCTTGAGCATATTTCCCTTTGGAGACTGTTTCTGGGGAATTTCCCTAAAATAACACCACATCTAGATGGAGCAACAAATTAACCCTTAAATTAGCATCATATCCTCATGTGTTTATTTATTTGTATTTGAATAGGGGTTTCTTGTATTTGAATAAGGGTAATTTTACTTCATAGTCTATTGAATAAGTTTCATAGAAACCGAAGTCTCAGGAACATCACAGCCACTTGTAAAGTTTATCTGGCCATGAAATTGAGATTTCACAATGGGGAGATATGATCAGATAAATGATAATCATCAGGAATAGGGCAAATATCATCTGTCATTTTTAACAGTAATATAAGGATCCTGAGACTTGAAGAAAGGAAGTATAAAGCAATATCGTTTTAAAGTATTTGGAATAACATTTGGAATATGGAAAAATGCCTAAAATAGTTAGAGTTCACATAAGTGCTATTGGATGACATCAGGGCCTAACCTCAATGAGAGAAATGTAAAAACGTTATTTAAAGGGAGCCAACAACAGATGTCTCCGTTTTACTGAAGAAAATCCCTGCGCGTTTGACACATTGGCTGCCCAATCAGTGCAGACGTGGTTGTTGAGAAAAGCAACTCCGCATCATAAAATGCTGTTCTTTGGGCTGATGGCCATAAGGAGACCAATAAAGAGAGGACCAAAGAAGTTCATCAAAGCTGGGTTATTGTTGGACTGATGTACATAGGAGAAAGGTGAGACTCATATATTTGAGCTTGGCATAAACCAATTTGGCTTGAACCAACTTGGCTTTCTCCAAATGGGAAAGCTATTATTTTTTGGCACTAAAATGAAACCACTTAAGACTGTCTCATTTTTTAAAAAATATTTAAGGTAATTATTTTAAGTTTCTGATTATATAAATCATGAAACTATTTGTCATTTGTTAATACCTTCATGCAAACAACTTGCAAACATTTATGCACAAGAGGGCCTTTCACGGTGTGAGGACACATCACCTCAATTCTTTCCCGACGGAAATCCCCCATGGTGTCTGAAACTTTTGTCTATAAAATCCTCACTGGAAGTTCTATTTGCAAATAATTTTTTATTCATCCAGCTCCCAATCTCTTTTCCTTCCGCACCAACAACTACAAAAACTGGCGGGCAGTAGTTCATGTGCAAATTGCTATTTTTCTGGACATGCCATTTTCCCTTTACTTGTCCTTTTATGTAACTTCCAATGTCGAGTATGATAGGCCCAAGATTTGTGTCCTAGAAACTGTAGATTCAAATGCAAAGGAATTCTGGGCTTAGAATACTGATCAGGAGACCTGGGACTCAATTTTTCCATCTGTAACTTGTAGATAATCCACACGCCACAGTAATTAGTAACATGCAGTGCTTTGCTTCCTGCATGAAGCTTTTACTGACCTGAGTTTGGTTGATTTTCTCCTTTCTATAGGTATTAATGATATTTGTTTCTATCTTCTTGGAGCAGTTGTTCATATTCTGCTTTGTATGATAGAGGTCAGGTTATGTGTGCCTTAAACTCCTCACAAATGAATACTCCCTGAGAGGCAGCAGTAAGTCCAGTTCATCATCTTTCTGTTTTTCTTTTTTGAGACAGCCTCATCCTGTCACTCAGGGTGGAGTGTAATGGCACAATCTTGGCTCACTGCAACCTCTGCCTTCTGGGTTCAAGTGATTCTCCTGCCTCAGCCTCCCAAGTAGCTGGGACTATAGTCATGTGCCACCATGCCCAGCTAATTTTTGTATTTTTTTTTAGTAGAGATGGGGTTTCACCATGTTGGCCAGGATGGTCTCGATCTCTTGACCTCATGATCTGCCCACCTCAGCTTCCCAAAGTGCTGGGATTACAGGTGTGAGCCACCACGCCCAGCTTCATTTTCTTTTTGACATCACTGACTCTATTCTTCAGGTATCAGCTTAAATATAACTCCAAAGGAAACTCCTCTGATCCCCGTACACTGTTATATTAGGCCAGTGTTCCCCTTTCAGGGATTATCTTCCTAGATAGGCCATAAACTGATGTGAAGAGTGGATGAGATTACATATGTTCACCACTTTATCTGCAATGCCTGGCACAGGACTTCCTACCTAAAGAAGCTTCATATGTATTTTTCAGTAAAAGCTGAGTAATAGAAACCCAGGGGAAGGGTGAGTAATTTACCTCTGCGTGGTAACTTGATTGCAGGCGAGAAAGAAGACTCTGCTTCCTTTGGGGGTGGACACATTAAAGGGAAAGGTCTAGCTGTATGGACCTCGGAACTCAATTCTGTTGCTTTCATAAACCCAGACCATCAGGGATGGATGTCATATGTGTTGATTCATTGCCAGAGAACATTTAGTCACAAAGCCTAACTTCTAAATAGTTGATTATTCTAATGTTTCAAGCACTGGTGGTTTGATGGTAATGAAGGGAATAGGATCAATTGAAGCAACTGATGGAATTATTTTACTAGAACAGAAAATCTCAAGGAAGGGGTCAGGCTCTCAGTAATATATGGATTGTGGTACACACATGGATTTAGAATGGTCCACCTGAATTCTCTCTGAGAACACTGCCCTGGGTTGTGGAGCATATCTTTGGAATGAGGAGGACATGGAATGTGTCAGTAATCTCATTTGTTCCCTAGTGGCAATCTACGTATTGTGTCCTTGGCGGTGTTCATGTTATGTGAAGCGCTAAAATATTTGTTGGAGAAATGTCTCTTTAAATATGTGACAAGTACAGGACATGCCCCAGCATGCCAGATATTGCCATTCTTCATCTGGTAGCTGTTAGAAGAAGAATTCACATCTGCAGCGGACATTGTGTCTTTTGGGGAAAACATATCTATTTAGAATGTAAACTATATCATCCTCAGGACAACCCTGTAAAGTGGGGAGGGCAAATATTATTCCCATCACACAGAGGGAGACATCAAGAATTGCTGGGGACAATGGAGCAACTCAACAACAGGCAAGGGAAACAAAATCAAAGCCCTGTGCCCTAATTCTCAAGTCACCCCTGACCTTTGTCCTTCACCCAGTGTGTATGAAGCAAGTGTAGGTAGAATTAACTGTGGCCTTGAGCTGGAAGGAAGAGGAAAAAAAGTAGAGGGAGAGACATGGCCTGGAAGTGTTCATCACTGAGATGAGTTTCCAAAGCCTGTGCTAAGGCTGCCAGGAGCTACAGCATCCTACTTGCCTGCTTCTGTCAGAAGAATTGTATTACTCCCGCCCTGCCATTCTTTATTTTTAAATTACACAACAATAAAATCGGGAGCAGAGAAAGTTTGAAAACAAAACAAAACAAGAGAGAATGCTCCATGTCAGTCTGGATTCAGACAGGGAAAATAGAAGGCACTCTGTGTGTTCCAAACATGAAGAGTTTTATTGGAAGGAATTAGAGGTGGTGCCTCCACCCAGAATCTCAACCTCAGCTCTGAGCTGGTGTTTCTCAGGAGCTTGTTGGAAAGTGCTGTAGATCACAGGAACACTTGGGTGTCTTTCACGGACTTTCTCTATCTGAAGCACCTGTGTGGGGATTCTCATGCTCACCTGGAGGCTGTTTCAGTCATTGTGGTTATCCATGCATTACCCTGCTCCTCCTCCTCCCTAGATTTCCAAATCATACTGCAGTACTTCTCTGTGGCCAACTCTAACCTAGGCTGATTCACGGAAGGGGATTCTGGGCTATGCAGTTTTTAGTTCTCCCTCTGATCTACAGAGAAAACCTTAGAAGAAAGCAATGGTGGCAATGTTTAAACAGATAATCCCCCACATCTACCATAACCCTGCCTTGCCAATAGCTATCATGTGGAGGATCCCATGTCAACTTGCTTGCATACACATTTTGTGAGATAATTGCCTAGTGAATGTCCCTGAATTATTTATTTCCTGATGCTTATACTGTAGTCTTGAAGATGTGCCATAGTTAGCTCGCCGTATTAAACATTGGTCTTGAAATGTATAAAAGAAAGAAAGA